CTTCCCACTAGTCTCCTCCTCCGCAAATACCCTCTTCCCTTTCCCTTCCAATTCCCCTTGGGAATGGAAGGAGAACCACTGAACCACTATTCAATGGGAGACTTACAAAGAAACTTCTGATGTCCAGAACCACTGAACCACTATAATGGCTTCTTGAAGGAAGAAGAAAGAAAATAGGGAGAAAATATCCAGAATCACTCACGGGGTGCCAAGAATCACTCTACGGTATGGGAATCACTGACCATAATTAGAATGAACTGAAGAAAACTCAATAAACTCCATTGCTCTGTGTACAACGTCCATACATATTATAGACTCTAAACTCATAATAATCCTAGGAGTCAAACTGTTAAGACTCATAATAGTCCTAGGAGTCAAACTGTTAGACTCGATAATCCTAGTAGGACTCCAACTTAGCTGTCATATCCTATTTCAATTCAAAGAAGACTCAATAACTCTAATCCTACTTATACAATGACTGAAATTTTGAACATAAACAAACTATAAATAGACAAGTTAGACCCTATCATTGGACCCCACAGAAAAATTGTAAGAGAAGAAAATTAAGAGAGGAAGTAAGAAGAGAAGAAAGAAAAATAGAGAGTTAGAGGAGAAAGAATCTTGGTGGCGCTCATATCACCCTATTCTATTAGAGAGTGTTAACATAAAAGGACCAGATTACCTTTGTTCCTAAATACATATAATAAACAGCACCAGATTAACCTATTCTAAATGGTATTCTAATATTAAATGTTTCCCCAATTCCTCCACGTTTTTCCATCTTGCTGAGTCAATTTGTCGATATGTATCAGATTATGTCTCGTTTCCATGCCCATATTACAACTACATGCAGTTGAATTCCTTATTCTAACCTGTTTGCTGATTACAAGAACCAAGAAATGTATATTTAAAAGCTATATAACTCCTGTGTTCGTGGCCATGGAACACTCACTGTAATCACATGCAGTTGAACTCTTATTCTGACTAGGTTGCTGACTAAAGAATCAAGCTATAATTAAAATCTATTCTTGCAGGGAACTTAAGTTTTCCTTTCTGGTCTATGGAGGCACCATCAGAGTACCATGCAGCTGAGCTTCATTACTTACACCAAGGATTGAAATAGGGATGCTCTTTGTAATATGATAATCTAGAAGTGGAAGGATACACATAAATGGATACATTGAATAAGAAATGGAGATTTAGGCCGTTGGCAGCTATGAAATTTCATTCAGGAAGCCAGATCCTTGGCCATTAGCTTGAACTCCACATTCAGCTGGGTCCAACTATCTGCATATGCTTCTATTGAATCACTTGCGAAAGGCATAAAGGGCAGCCCAGTGCACAAGTCTCCCACCAATGTGGGGTCTGGGGAGGGATAGATGGATGCAGCCTTGCCCCGGCATGTACAGAGAGGCTGTTGGGAATTGGGATATATGTGTTGGGGTAGAGTAGAAGTGCGGCTAGATCTCAGATCTGCTTATTTGTTGAGGGACTGTGACTTTTTCCTCTTTTGGTTCTTTCCAAACCTTTTTTGATGATTTTTTCTGATGAGTTACTGGTCAGGGAAAAAAACTTGAAGTTTTTACTTATTAGAAGGTAAGCTTTCAAAACATCATGTTGACAATTCCACCAGTAAATTTCAATCAACCAAGCTGCTTTTTCCTTCTAGGCTTGTGAATGGTATGGGTTTATTAGATAAAAAGAAACTGCTCAACTAAGAGCATTCATCAATAATCTGCAAACAGAGCATGATGAACAAAGCAAGCACTAAAAACAAATCAAGTTATCACAAAATGTAACCAGTAAGTATTTGGAGAAGCATCCATCCAGTATTCCAGTTTTACATGTTTATAACACCTCTTACCTAAACAGGCACTTATAGCCAACACAGATTCCACATTAAGTTACATAGAACTTAGGTGTGTTGCATCATCATATTAAGAAATATAATGGTGCTGCAAACAATGACAGCTGCAACTCTCATCACAAAAGGGAAAAGAAATAAAAAGTGAGCAATTTTTCCTTTCAACTTTGCCAAGCTTGATGGCACCTTCAAGAAGACATTGCTCTTTCTGTCCTATTTTCTTTCAGATATTTACATAATTGTAGAACAATCTCACAATGAGGTTTAGGATTTCATTCTGTTGAGTTCTTATGATTTTATTATGTTTTAAATTCTGGAAACATCTTATATGCTCTCGAGAAATAAGTAAAACCTATTGCCTGAGAATACTATCACCAATAGGAGGCAAACATGATGAACAAAGGATTCAGTTGTGAAAAAGAAGGTTGGAGAAGTGAGTAGAACATCTACTGCATCCATCCAGGTCTTCTGGCCAAGAATCCAAAACACTGGTGCTTGCAGCATCCAATCTATAAGCATTTAGATGCACAAAAGAATATGACCATCTCAACGAAATCTTAACATAGCAATGACTCCAGTGACTTCTACCTCCAATTGTTAGACACCAACTTCTAAGTGAGAGTTTCCAAATTCAAACCCAAGGATTGAGAAGAAAACCCCTATCATGCCTCGAACAAAAGTTCCTACTGCACACAGAAGGGATTGCCAACCTAAAAGATGCATCCCATCTTGGTTGACCCCTAGCCTAGTAAGTGCAGTCCCTTGCTCGATCAAAAATAAAGTGTGGATACATGATAAGGTGTCATTCTAGTGATATGACATCATATTTATAGGAACCCTGCATAATACTTAGTGTATAATTTTGTTAGAACAAACACCATTTATGGTTAAAACCAATGTTCAGAGAACCAGATCAACCATAAAACCAGAAAAGGAAAGAGGTTCATGGGTCAGGGGTTCAACCGAGGTCAAACCGAAGGTCAAACTGTGATGACATGGTGAACTCAGTTTGATGGATTATGCAGGTGATCTTTTGACAGGAGAAGATCACTCACAGGTTATGTGTTTTCTATTGGTGGTTGTGCTATTAGTTGGGAAGCCACTTTACAGTCTACAATTGCACTATTTACTACTGAGGCTATGTACAAGGTAGTGATTGATGCAGTTAAAGAAGCTATTTGATTGAAAGGTTTGTTTGGTGAACTTAGTTTGGGACCAAAGGTGACTGTTGTCTATTGTGCTAGTCAAAGTGCTATTCATCTAAGGATCAAATGTACCATGAGAGGACAAAGCACATTGATGTGAGGTACTATTTTGTTCGTGATGTTGTGGAACAAGGAGATATCATTGTGAAGAAGACTGGTATTCTAGATAACCTAACCAATATGTTAACAAAGCCTCTTTTTGGGGCTAAGTTCAAGCATTGCTTGGACTTGATTGGTGTTTTGACTAAATGGTTTTTTTTTGTTTTCTAAAATTTCCAATTATTTGATTTTTTTTGCTCCAAGGGGCTACACAACGAGGGGTAGCCCATCCCCCAAACCCATAAACCCTCCAACCCATGTGCAAGCAGGATTCGATCCCAAGTCTCTGCTACAAGCCTACAACCAACAGGAAACCCTACTAACCAGCCTGTTGGAACCTTGTGACTTGATTGGTGTTTGCAGCATTTGAGTTTACCCATTGGGGTTTTGTTGGAGAAGGTGAAGGGAGATTTCTATTTTGTAATGCTTGAGAGAATTCAAGCCAAGGTGGAGATTTGTTATGGTTGTGCCTTGAATTCTTTGCGAGAGAAGAGTGAGACTGGGTGTATTTGGGGTTTAGGATTTTTTGTGAGTGTGGTTGTGAGTGCACAACTCTGTATTCCTCTCCATTACAGATTACATAGTGGATTTCTTCTCCTCCTTCGCCCATGGACATAGGCTATAAGCCGAACCATGTATTTGCATGGTTGTTAGCCAAGGGGTGTATTTTGACTCAGGACAACATAAAGAGTCAAGGATTTCAATTCCCAAGCTGGTGTGTCCTATGCTTATCTAGAGAAGAAAACATCATGCATTTGTTCTACAGGTGCAGCTTCGTTTGCCCCATATGGTTCCATTTTTTCAAGCTGTTTAAAGTGGATCGGTGGTCAATCTCAGATCAGGCTGAAATCTTTGGACTTTGGCCAAGAGTTCAGGGTGGTTCTAAGGTCAAGCTGATGTGGAGTTGCATTACATTTGCAGTGTGCTGGGAAGTTCCGAAGGAAAGAAACAAAAAAAAAAATCTTCGAGAATAAAAAGAAAACTTGGGAAGAGGTGGTGGCTTGGATCAGTTCATTAGTCATTGGTTGGGTATTAATTCTGCTAGATTTTCAAGGAATAAAGAAAGAAGATTTTGGGGCAGACTTCTGGAGCTCTTTGAATGCTTAACTTTCTGGGTTTCTGATGTATTTTTCTTTTAAGTCTGTTTTGTTTGTTTCTTCTGGTTGTTTCTGGGAGTGGCAAGTGCTGTAAACACCTTTCAGTAATAAAGCTTTTTTCTTTATTTATCTTCAAAAAAAAAATCTGTGTCCTCTTTGCTTGCTTCTCTTTATCTCTTTTATTTCATTTTTGGGTGCCATTCGAATCTGCATTTTTGGGTTTTGCACAATAGTATATATTGTGGGTCATATAAATACTACATAATATGTTTTACAAATTATATAATACTTGAATGTGGTCGATAGATGGAAAATTTCTTAATTTTTAAAGCAGATGATCAGGGTTCAAGCCTCTTAACTCGCATGTTCTTTAAAATACGTGTAATGAAGTAATACAATAATGAGTCATTAATTAACACAAATAAGGAAATGGGTTAATTTTAAATGAGCAATGCACATAAATAAGAGGTCAAGTGTTGCCATAAGCATTTTGAAACTTCCTTTATTTAGTGACTCAAGCAATTCCATGAACCAGGACTGCTTATCTGGTTCTCTGATTAAACCAGCCAGTCAACCGGTCTTGATCAGTTTTTTAATGAATTCCAGTTTAGGGTATGACTGAATTGGCTAGGGACCCGGGTCACAGTTCAACTAGTTCAACCAGCCAATCTGGTCCAGTTTTCTAAACACTGGTTAAAACACTATGGATATCTTGAGTGTTCAAAAGATCCTTACCCTTTCAAGAAGATATTGTTCTTCAAGGGGTAACCGTGTGTTTTTGTTGCATCTCCCACTGACTATTTCCATGAGGAGAACACCAAAGCTATATATATCTGCCTTGCGTGTCAATTGTCCTCGTATCGCATACTCAGGTGCCAAATAACCTCTAGAAAAAGGCAAAGAAAAGCCACATAAATATATTAAACCTTGCAGAGGAAATGAAGAATTGAAGTACATTGGGATAAGCATGATTATAGTTAGTCCATATCAAAATTAGTGAACAGTTTATTGTCCACAATTGGATTGTTCTATCTCGATTATTTTACTGGCTTCTCTTCTTATTTTTATTTTCTGGTTCTTTCTTCTTTCATTAATCATCGTTTCATGTTTCAATTCTGCTTTTATTGCTGAATTCAAGACACGTATTTTAAATCCATCTATAACTAGCCTTATCCACAAGAGTTGTGGTAGAGGGTATAATTAGCCCTTATCCACTATAGTGGTAGGGGTAGTTTTTTGCATGGATAGATCTAAAGCACTAGGAGTCTAGGACCAGATAGCTTTTCAAAATCTTTTTCTAGAAATGTTGTGTGATTCTTAAAGGTGACCCAATGGAGATATTTGTTGAATTTCATGAAAGAGGATTAATTAGTCTCAGAGTAAATGTAACCTCTATAGCTCTTACCCAAGGAAATTCTGACATATACCTCCCAAAATGATTTTAGGTCAATTAGCTGAGTAGGAAGTCTAAAATCATAGTTAAAATTCTTGCTTTGAGTTGAGGTTAAAAGAGGTCCACCAATCAATAATTTTGCAGTTCCAAGGAGCTTTTATCAAAAACCAAATTTTAATAGCCACTGAATGCATTCAAGAGCTTAAGAGAACAGGAATAATGATGTTTTGAGTTAAATTTATTTTTCTTTAACACTTTGAGTTCATGCATCAAGATATTCTATTTCTCTCCAGTTGTCACACCACTAATCATTGCCACTATAGTATGTTGGCACTGATTGTCAAGCCAAGACAATGAACACTAGTAAGCATACCTGCTTTTGTATTTTCATGTACATAAGGCTCATTTTGGAAGACTAAAAATATAAATATGTACAGTGAAAATACAAAGTTTAGAAATGCTGTATACAAGGGTTTGCACTGAACCTATTTGTATTTGAACTCTTCCCTAACTTTTCCTCCACTTATTGATATGCTTAAATTCAGCGGGTGGCCCCGCCTGACCTGGGGTCGCAAGGCAAATTGTGCATGTTGTTAGAGGATGACATTGTTTTAATTGATGAAACTAATGAAGGATTAAATGAAAAATTAAGATCATGGACAAATTCCTTAGAAAGAATAGGTTTTAAAATAAGTCGAACTAAAACAGAGTATATGACATGTAAATTTAGTAATAAGAGTGTAAATCAAGATAAACATAGGATTGGAGACCAAGAGATAGCTCAAAGTGACCATTTCCGGTACCTTGGTTCAATAATTCATAACAAGGGAGAGAATTAGGAGGATATCACTGAAAGAATTAGAGCTAGATGGGAATTGGGAAAGATGGAGAGGTGGATCTGGACTTTTATGTGATAGGCGAATACCACTTAGATTAAAGGGAAAATTCTATTAAACAGTTGTAAGGCCAGCTAATGTTGTATGGAGCAGAGAAAACATGATGTCCAGAAAATAAATGAGACAGAAATGCGAATATTAAGATGGATGAGTAGGAAAACTAAAAAGTGTGGGATTAGGAATGAAGTAATATAGGAACCTAGGAGTAGCTCCAATAGGTGATAAAATGAGAGTAGACTAAGATGGTTTAGGCACGTACATAAAAGACCACCAACCGCACCAGATAGAATAAGCGATTTATTACACATTGAACTAGAAGAGCTCAAGGTAGACCAAAAAACATGGATAGAAGAAGTAATTAATTATTTTAACATTAATGATTTAACAGTGGACATGGTGTTGAATAGAACAGAATGGTAAAACAGGATTCACGTAGCTGACCCCATTTAGTTGGGACAAGACAGAGATGATGATGATGATGATGATGACTCTTCCCAAACTGAGCCTAAACTATAGAATTACTCCTGTTAAGTTTCCAAGTCAAAATGATGCTGAAATGAAATATGCAGTTCATAAGAAACCTAATGGGATATTTTATACTTACATTGTTCCAGCAACGCGTGTACTGACATGAGTCATGCTGGGTGGGATAAGTTTTGCAAGGCCAAAATCTGAAATTTTGGGGTTGAGGTCTTTATCAAGGAGGATATTACTTGCTTTTATATCTCTATGAACAATGTGTGGCATGACCTCCTCATGCAGGAATGCAAGTCCACATGCAATGCCAGTGCAAATTTTATACCGTGTTCTCCAACTAAACTGGATGCTACTATGACCTCCACCTGATGGTAGACAGAGTAAGTCATTATTGAGAAAATTAGACCCAATAATTTGCAAATAAAATTTGAAAATTGATACCAAGTAGAGTCTGTGCAAGACTATTGTTCTCAAGGTAGTTATACACCAAAATTCTGTGATTTCCTTCTATACAGCAACCATACAACTTAACAAGGTTTTCATGCTCTATATCAGAGATCACATTTATTTCTGTCAAGAACTCCTGTGCTCCTTGCCTTGACTCTTCTGAGAGAACCTTTATAGCTGCAATTCGACCATCCCTAAGTTTTCCCTGAACACAGAAGAATATCAAAAGGAGGCACCAATCATTACAAATAAGAATAGTTCAGTTTTCCGTTTGAACAACTTTAGTCAGGTCTTCAAGTAACAATCCAGTCTCATTACTTTACAAGCATATACAAATCCATTATGAAATTACCTTGTATACAGAACCAAAACCCCCCTCGCCAATTTTATTCACTGGACTAAAATCATCAGTGGCATTTTTCAGTTCTCTGTATGTGAACAGGTAAACATTGTTGATGCTTGAAGCCTCTGTAGTCAGTTTGAATCTCATTAGAATTTTAGAAGTTTATAAACATACATAAGCCAATGGTTAATGGATCCATGATGTGCATTTTAAAGATGTGTAGTATTTCCAACCGATAAACAAAAATAACATTCTTCCCAATGTCTTTCTATACTTTCCAGCTCTAAACAGCTATACAAGTAAGAAATATTAGGGATGGTAACAGTGAATTATTTATGGAAACAGGTCTCTCTTCCTGTTTCTTCATTTTAAGGGGTGAAAACACTTACATTCAGTTATAATTTTAAATAATAGCAGATATTGTAAGAGAAGCATGAAATAGATAGTTGAACGAAAGAAATAGAGAATCAAAGGGATGGAGTTAGAGATAATGTCAACCTCTAAACTGTAATGAGGCAACTACAAAATTACTTTTATGACCATAAACCATTACTCTATTAACTCCTATAGTCCCAGCATCTTACAACAGTACCCCTCAAACTGGTGAATAACTGTCATACATGCTCAGCTTGCTTAGAATAGTATACAATTGGGACTTCACAACTGATTTAATGGAAACATCTGCAAGCTGATTCTCCATATTGGAAAAAAATAGTACATCTCCTTCATGGAAACCTTCTCTAAGATGAAATTTTCATCCATCTCTATGTGTTTTTCTAATCATTTTGAACCAGATTATGAGAATTACTAATTGCAATATTTTTGCTAAAATAAAGGTCCATTGCTCCTACTATTAGACACCCAGTTTGCTAATATGAGCTTTGAACCATAACAGCTCACAAGTTCCATGTGCCATGTCTCTATACCCTTGCCACCATTATGCTTCTTACTCCTCCATGTGACAATATTGCTGTTAACAATAGTGCTATAATCTGAAGTGAACCTCTTATCAGTCACAACCAACCCAATAAGCATTTGTGTAGGCACTGTTGAAAGTTTACTTAATATTGTATTGGTAGTTTAGTCTGTGCTAATGAAGGGTTTAAGTGTAGCTTGTGAACATACCAAAAATAATAATGAAATGGGGCATGTTGAAGACACTTTGACATCCCAAGCACTTCCTCAAACTTCTTTCTTTCTTCTTCTACTTCTCCATATCTTAATCTAACTAGAAATCACCAAGTATATTGATAATTTGCTATTAGAGAAAACTCTAGATTGAGTTTTAGCCACTGTTTCCCTGGTCGGCTGTTGACATCATCATCTCTATTAGCTGATATCAGCAGGTTGTATGGTCTATCAGATCCCCACATGGAGTAAACCCTAGATCCAGATCAAGCATGATTTCAAGTGATTGTTTAAGTTTCATGCCGTTTGATGCTTTTTTTATCAATAACAGAATCAATTTCATTAAAATGAGGAAAATTAGTACAATAAGAGGGGGGAGGGATAAACACTCTTAGCCCTCCCCACCAGAGAAATTACAACACAGCCCAAAATATATCATTTCTTTCCACCCCTTGTTTAGCAAGTGTATGAACAAGGGTTTTTTGATGCTATTACACCATTTTTTGGATTTTTCTAGGTATAATAAAGAAAAAGTTAATAGGTTTGAGTTTTTAGTTGATTGCATCTGATTGATGGAGGGTTTGTGAATGGAACTTCAAGTGCTTGATTCACCTGATATTTTAGAGACCACTGAAGGTGGTCTTGAATGATTTCGTTAAGTTTCAAGGGTTCTGAACTAGTTTTTCCAGTCCATATAACTGTCTAGACCTTGTTTCTCCCTTGTGAATGCTGTTAAGCTGATTGTAAGATGGTTGCTATTGCTAGGATATGCATGTGAGTGCATACCAGTATTGTGTATTGCATGCCAAGGCCTAAAAATCTCTCCAACAGTCCAGCATGTATGGAACTTCCCTATTTTTATTGTTGACTTCATGAAGTGTAATTATAGTAGGATTAGTTCAATGGTTGGATACTCAGATAATAAGAGTGGACTTGGATATACTATGGGAACTAATGATATTTCAAATCTTTAGATCACTACAATTAAACTTGATAGGAATAATTTTCTTGAGTGGTCAATGATGTGGGAGGCCATGAAAAGTTGGGATATCTCACAAAGAAAGAAGTGAAGCCCTTCTAAGATGATCCGATGTTCTCCAAATGGGAATAAAAAACTTAATGGTTATGCCATGGATAATTAATTAATCGAAAAATGTCAATTCTAGTTAGTTCCATACAACCATGGTTCGCAATATTTGATGATATTTAGTGAAATTTCCCCATTTTCTTCCATAAACAATAGCCCTTGAACTTTCTTGACTTCTTTTTTTCATATAGTCAAAGGTGGAAAAAGATTACATAAAGGGGGCAATTGGCTGAAAGTTGCTAAATAGTACAAGTGTAATGTTGAAACCCACATGGACCCATTTTGAGCTTCCATCTCAAGTACCATAGTCTGCATGCATAAACAGAATTTCAAGTCTGTACCTGTGGCATAAATTCATTACTTAGATAACATATAAATTCAACTCAACTAAGCCTTGTCCCAACTCCCAACTGGATGGGCTCAGCAATGTGAAAACTGTTCTGCCTTTCCATTTTGTTCAGTTTCATATCTATTGTTAAAAGTTGGGCCCTCAAATCATTTCTTACTACTCAACCTTTTTGGTTTGCTCCTAGCTTTTCTAGACCCTTCAACTTGTAAGAGATCACTTTAGCATATGAATATATTAACAAATTTGAGAAAATGAAACAAGCTTCAAGTAAATTGCAAGCAATAATTATTATTCATCAAAACATAAACACCAGTAGAAAATGAACTTATATAGACTTAGAGGAAAAAAGAAAAGAAACAGATAAAATCATTGTCAAATATCAGATAATGGTAAATTTTTAGCCTTCTTGTCGATTACCTTCACTGACTTCCACAGGTTGTCTGGATGAAGAAGCTCCCTTTTTTCCAAATAGAAAGGCAAAACAAGTCATTACTATATGCTACACCACCAAAAAGCCTTTCTATATCACGACAAAGTTTGTATATAAATCAAAACTCAGCCTGCCAATATGAGCCATTAGAACAGCAAATGTTATCAAATATTCTCAATAATTTCATCTTACTGCAATATAATAGCTGAAAGTCTGAAAGGCTGAAACATAATCCCTTTGGAAAGGAAAACTATGTTAATTATGCATAAGCTCAAAGAAATGAATAGCCATGCTAATTATTTCATCGGCAATTGTTCACTCACATACAAACCATGTTTCTAGTATTCTATCTTCAATTCTTTGTATGCCAGGATATATGATCAAAGCACTAATTTCATTTCTGTCAAGCAGGACTAAGGAAATTCTGAAGATTGAGCACCACAGAAGGAATACCCTTCGAAGATATTTTAGAGACTAAAGACAGAGAACTTGCTTTTTCTATTACAACAAACAAGGACTTTAACTTATCTGATGAAAAAGAAAATTATGGGTTGTCCCCTGTTGCAGTAGATTACATAAGAACCAATCAAGATAGTTGATGCAGCAACATGCATTTGGTTAGATCAGTTTGAGTCTCTCTGGAATCCCAAAAAGAATCTAACAGATCTAAAGAGAAGGAAGAAATGCTCTGAAAAAGTCTTTTTGACCTCATGCTCATCTCAAAGGCTATGTTTGGTTTGAAGGAAAAGGTAGGGAAAGGAAGGGAAATGCAGGGAAACCTATACAAGATTTGTAAAGGTTTCCCTTCCTTTTCTTTCCTTTCCCTACCTTTTCCTTCAAACCAAACATAGCCGAAGGAATTTCACAGGAGAAGAATTGGTGAGAACTAAAAGCGGGATCTACTTAAGATGCAACTTTTAAGTTTTCCAGAAATGTACTATTTCAAAGTTACTATTTATGGTAACTTTGGGCTTACTGTTTATAGTAATTCCTGTAATTACTATTTTTAGTAACTTCTGGTGTCTTTACATTAAGTTGATCTCAGTAGGAGTAGGAAAGTGTTAATAGAATTGTTTAGGAGTTAGAGCCCTTATTTAAGTGTCACCATGGGTTATTTGTAGATTTGTCTTAGTTTTAAAGTGGTTAGAAAATATTTTTTGGGTCAGTTTCCTACTCCAAATTGGAGTCCATAAAGGGACATCCGAGTTCATATGTTTAGTCTATAAATAGAATCATTATAATTGCAATGAGTTGATTTAATGAAGTTGTCTAGTAGGACTGCAATCAGCCCTAATTGTAATGTACAATAAACAAGAAAAAAAGGTTTGAGAATGAGAGAAGAAGAAGAAAGAGAAGAGAAGGAGAAGACGAAGAGAGAAAGTCAAAAAGAGTGTGGGTTATGACATGGATTGTCGCCCCACTCAGCTATTTATATTAATAGTTTAAATAGGGTAAAAACCAGAATTACCCCTTCTGCTTACATAAGCAAAGAAATAATAAATAATAGAAAACAGAAAATAACTACCAACTACCACTAACATAAATAGACAAACAGTAGTGGGGACTACATTAATGTTCTACATCTCTACACTCCCCCTCAAGTTGGGAATAGATATTAGTCATTCCCAACTTGCATAGATCAGCCTCTAACTTTGTCTTTGAAACTACCTTAGTGAAGAGATCTGCAAGTTGCATGTTGGAGGTGATATATGGAAGACACGCTTCTTGGGAAGCAACTCTCTCTCTGATAAAGTGTCGATCCACTTCAATATGCTTAGTTCTGTCATGTTGTACCGGATTATGGGCAATGTTAATAGCAACCTGATTATCAAATACAGCATTAGGGGCTTTTCATAAGCAATATCCAACTTCTCAAATAGGGATTTCAACCATAAAACTTCAACTACACCATTCACCATGGACCTATATTCAGCTTCAGCTTCAGCACTGGAGCGAGCAACAACATTTTGTTTCTTACTCCTCCAAGAAGCAAGATTACCCCCTACAAAAGCACAATACCCAGAGGTAGACCTCCTATCATCAACACATCCAACCCAATCAGCATCTGTGTAAATTTCTATTTTCACGTGACCATTATCTTTGAAGAGTATACCTCTGCCTGGACATCTCTTCAAATACGCCAGTATCCTCTCAACTACAAGTAGGTGAGTGGTTCTAGGAGAATGCATATATTGGCTAACAACATTGACTGCATAAGAGATGTCTGGTTGTGTGGGACAAAGATAGAAAGTTTTCCAACCAACCGTTGGAACATAACTTTATATTCAAGGGGCTCTCCACCTTCTGCACTGATCTTGTGATTTTGTTCAATAGGTATATCAGCAGGTTTAACACCTAGCTTCCCAGTTTCTTTCAACAGATCAAGAACATACTTCCTTTGGGAAACAAAAATCCCATGTTTAGACCGTGCTACCTCAATACCCAGGAAATACCGTAGCTCTCCCAAGTCTTTAACCTCAAATTCTTGGTGAAGGAGTTGCTTAAGAGAGTCAATCTCACGGGTATCACTCCCTATCACCATAATATCATCCACATAGACAGCAAGAAGTGTTAAGGAGGAATTCACTTTCTTAATAAAAAGAGTGTGATTTGAATGGGCTTGCACATAACCAAAATTTTCATGAACTTGTCTAAATCTATCAAACCAGGCTCTGGGAGACTGTTCTAGTCCATATAAGGCCTTATTAAGCTGGCAAACCTTCTTTCCTGCTTCTGCACTATAAAATCCAGGAGGCAACTGCATATACACCTCTTCTTGCAAGTCACCATTGAGGAAGGCATTTTTGACATCCATCTAAAATAATGGCCATGAGAAATTGGTTGCAAGAGATAGTAAAACTCTGATAGTGTTCATCTTTGCTACTGGTGCAAGAGTCTCCAAGTAGTCTATGCCATATGTCTGAGTAAACCCCTTTGCAACTAATTTGGCCTTATATCTTTCAATAGAACCATCAGCATTATGCTTCACTGTAAACACCCATCGACACCCAACCGGTTTCTTCCCTTTAGGTTGATTAACTAACTCCCATGTATTGTTCTTCAGAAGAGCATCCATTTCTACCTTTATTGCATCCTTCCACTCAGGTACTGACAAGGCTTCCTGCACTATTCTGGGAATGGAAATATCAGCAATGGATGCCAAAAAAGACTTATAAGATGGAGACAAATGATCATAAGACAGGAACTGGGAAATACAATGAGTTGTAGATGAGGTACAATGGCGTTCCCCTTTACGGATTGCAATGAGAAGGTCAAGATCATCCAACAGAGGTGAAGGCTCAACAATGGAAGGTATCTCATCTGTAATGGAAGATAAAGGAACTGTGGTACCTGGATCTGGATTCGTAGAAGGAATTGGAGCTGGCCTAGACCGTTGATGACTGAAATCAACCTACCTCCACCACATGTGATATACCCTCAAATCCCGACACCTCTAATAACCCTCCTCACTACACTCCCCTTCAGTGATTGGGACAAGTAATGGAGTTTCTGATGAAAGAGTCCCCACCTCACTACTCTCTCCCTAAGAAGAAACCCTAGGATAATAAGGTACATCCTCAAAGAAAGTGGCATCCATAGAAACAAACCGCCTTCTAGAAGTAGGTTCATAGTAGCAATATCCCTTTTGAGTTTGTGCATAACCAAGGAAATGCATTTTGAGGCTTTAGGATCAAATTTAGAACGATAAGGTCCAAGAATCTGAACAAAGCAAGTACATCAAAAGGTCTTAAGGGGAATGGTAAACAACTCTTTATTAGGATATAAAAGGGTGAATGGAACTTTCATGTCAAGAATCTATGAAGGAACTCGGTTGATGAGATACACAGTTGTATGAATAGCATCTCCCCAAAAACGTATAGGCACATTGGAGTTAAGCATAATGCTTCTAACCACCTCCAATGTGTCTATTCTTCCTCTCAACAACCCCATTTTGCTGAGGTGTATGGGGACAGGTGCTCTGATGGATAATTCCATGGTCAAGGAAATATGAGGCTAATGGTTTTACAAAATACTCTTTTGCATTATTAGATTTGAAAATTTTGATTTTGACCCTAAACTGGGTCAAAACCATCTGATGAAATATCCGAGTTAAGGTAGGAACCTCATCTCGAGAATGCATAAGGTAAACCCATGAAAAACAAGTATAGTCATCAACAAACAACAAGAAATATCTGTATCCCCCCATAGCAGTGATGTGATAAGGTCCCCAAACATCAGTATGCACAATTTCAAAAGGAATACTGCTTCTTTTATTAATCAAGGGATAAATTTTCTACAATGCTTTGCAAGCTCACAACTTTCACATTTCAAATTAGACATCTGGACTGACTCAAACAAACTAAGAAACAAACTCTTCAATGACCTAACTGATTATGCCAAAGCATAACCTGACTAACAGACTAAGAAACAAAAGACCTCCCAACTTCACTATCTTCCCCATGTGAGCTCCCTCCAAGCAGGTAGATTTCATTCGTTTCACGACCAATCCCGATCACCTATTTTGTCTCCAAATCCTAAAAAACACATCGATCAGGAAAAAATGTCACTGAACAATTTTGGGTTTTAGTGATGCTACTAACTGAAAGCAAATTAGTACTAATTTTATGAACATGTAAAACTGAGGACAAAGAAATGGCATTAGACAATTTGATGTCTCCCTTGCTAGAAATGGGAACAAAGGAGCCATCAGCAATAAACACTTTGTCTCTGCCAGAGGATAAGTGATAAGTAGTAAACAGTGAGGACAAGCCAGTCATGTGGTCAGATGCACCTGAATCTATCACCCAACAAGGTTCAGTGTTACTTGGGGCTGAGGCATGATATGTTGAAGCCCGTGTACCTGAATAAGCAAATGCTGAAGTGGGAGTAGCAGATGTTGTGACTAATGGCTAAGATAATGGTGCTGAATTTCCAACTTCACTCTCCAACTGAGTTAGAGCAGCCCGGACAGCAGCTAAGGTGTCTAGGGATGTGGCTCTTGTGCTAGATGAGGATGCACCAATAGTAGTAACAGCCACATTGGCATTTTCCCTTTTGTTTCTAAGCTTTGCTGGAACTATATGTGGATGTAACTTCCAACAAGTGTCTTTAGTATGCTTTGGTGTCTTGCAATGTTCATATACTAGCTCCCTCTTATCTTCCTTCTTCATATCCCACTCCTTATCACCCCCAAACTTTGGTTTCACTGCTGCTAAGGTTGATTCAAAAGGATGATGCTGCAACATAACCTTTCTCTTACTTTCTTCATTATGCATTAAAGAGTAGGCTTGTGACAAGGTCACGCTTTCTCTAGTGAGGAGTTGTTGTCTCACAATATCATATTCAGAATTCAAACCAGCTAGAAATTCAAACACCCTATTGGTTTCAACTTGTTTTCTGTAAGTTTGTGCATCCTTCTGACTTTCCCACTCAATTGTCTCTAGGTGGTCAAGTTCATGCCACAAGGATTTCAAAGTGGAGAAGCAAACTGAGACTGGTTTCTCTCCTTGCTTAAGGTTGTTTACTTCACATTTCAGCTCATAGGACCTAACAGCATTAAGTGGTTGGGAGTGGGTTTCTTTCATGGTGTCCCAAATCTCCTTAGCAGTTTTTGCCCACAAATAGTTTCAGCTGATGTGAGGCTGCATGGAGTTGCACAGCCAAGTCATAACCAAATAGTTCTCCTGAACCCATTTGGCATAAGTTGGGTCCTCCTTAGTTGGTTCCTTCACATCCCCCAACAAATAGTTCAGTTTTCCTCTACCACCAATAGCCGTCATGGCTGATTGTGCCCATTCCAACTAATTTGATCCATCAAATTTGACAGTGGTAATCTGAAATGTGTTCTCAGTCATGTTACCAGAACCACCAGCCCCCAAAACACTTTCCCCTTGATTCTTAAACTCCATTCCTGTCAGCCCTTTCAAGATATTGATAAAAAAAGACCCTTTTTAGTGCTGAAACAGGTGTAATTGCACCCAAAACTTGCTAACAGCCGACCTAGAAAGATGAAATAGGTTTGGCAATCACCCAGAAATATTGGAATAGGTCTAGTAGTTTCCTAGAAAGCAATATTGCTCAATCTGGAATACTGTAACAGGTCTAACTATTGCCGAAGAATTGGCAACAGTCATAAACTTAGGGTTTTAAAATGAGAACTGGGCGTAGGTCAAGAAAAAACCCTAAAAAATCAGGAGAAAAATAGAAAACTCCCAGCCGCACCTCCTAGATTATTCAAAAAAGGTTTTGATTAAGGTCGATCTCAAGAACAAACACCAACTTACTCAGAAAAGTCTAGCCGCCACTTCCAAACCACAGTCTGAACCCTAATCTTGAGGTTTCTTCCCTCCTGATTCTTCCTGATCACTGGACATCCTCCAAGGCTCTATGATCCCTTGGGCATCTGCTGCGCACTGCCAACAATCTCCAAGAATCAGCCGATTGTCTTATCTTTGCTGAAACTTCCAACCCTAGGAAGTTCTCATGTAGTCGGTCTGATTAGACTCACATGAGAAGCCCTAGGTTGGTTCTGATACCAAGTTGTCTAGTAGGACTGCAATCAGTCCTAGTTGTAATGTACAATAAACAAGAAAAAAGGTTTGAGAATGAGAGAAGAAGAAGAAAGAGAAGAAGAGAAGGAGAAGACGGAGAGAGAAAGTCAAAAAGAGTGTGGGTTATGACATGGATTATCGCCCCACTCAGTTATTTATATTAATAATTTAAATAGGGTAAAAACCAGAATTACCCCTACTGCTTACATAAGCAAAGAAATAAGAAATAATAGAAAACAGAAAATAACTACCAACTACCACTAACATAAATAGACAAACAGTAGTGGAGACCACATTGATGTTCTACATCTCTACAAATGACATAAAGTTTAGTTTAGTAAATTCTTCCCTCCCTCTCCTACCCCATCCTACATGATAGTATAGACAATCTGACATAACATGCAAAAGGATTTGCACATTCACCCTTAGCAGTGAATTCCTTAACATGAGAATGCCAAAACCAAAATTTCCTATATGGAAATGATTGTAGGGTCATTACCCAATTATGGTCTCAGGTACCTTGGGTATTGCAAAGAGCATTGTTTTGAAAACCAAACCGAACCTGACGATTGGACCTTTTGACCTGGGAACCATTCGTATCTCCGGGTCCGGTTTTAGTCTGAACCGCTTTTTTGGAAAAAAAAAACATTGATTTGATCAGAGAACCGCTGACCCGTACGGTTGAACTGCTGAATCGTTCGACCTGGGCAGTGGTTCATGGATTAATGATTTTTTTTTTTGTTGGGAAGACTAACAAGATGAGATCAAGAGATGAGGAAGGGACTCAAATGAAATCTCAGATCTGAGATCACTGAGAGAGAGAGAGAGAGAGAGAGAGATTTGAGATTTGAGATCAAAGAGAGAGATCTCAAATCTGTTGCCGTCCGTGCTGCCGTCGTCATCACCGGTGAGCATTACCTTTCTTCTTCCTTCCTTCCTTCCCTCCTTCCTTTCGTTTTCTTTTCTTTCTTTCCTTTCCTTTCCTTTCTCAGCCGACAGCCAACTCCCTCTCTTTTCTCACAAAAGACTAATGATACATATACCCTAATATTCCAATCTAAGGGTTAAATGTATAAAACCATCTGAACCGTTCAACCCAGATGGTCAAACCGCTGAACCGGAAACCAGTGACAAAAACGGTTCTGTCTCCAGGTCAGTTTTTAAAACCTTGGGAAAGAGTAGACTGGATATGGACCACTTACAGCCTGAGGTTTTACGAATGCACTAAGCAATGGCAATAAATTAGTTATAAAGATAGTTGTCTCCAAAATATTTGTTGAGAGAACTCCAACACACAAATCTGAGTGTAATATTTGTTCCCAACAGAACTTTGGAAAGGACAGGAAACCTCATATTAGAGATAAATGGAGTTTCTCAAGTGAAGTTTCCAAAGAATAGCACTCCCACAACAATTGAAGTGTCCACCATCATCATCAGCATCATCCATGCATTGTTCCAACTATATGGGGTCGGCTACATGAATCCTGTTTCACCAATCCGTTCTATTTGAAGTCATATCCACTGTTAAATTATTAGTGCTTAAATCATTCCTTACTACTTCTACCCATGTCCTTTTTGGTCTACCCCTAGCTCTTCTAGCCCCCTTCCACTTGTAACAAATCACTTCTTCTAATTCGAGCTATTAGCAGTCTCCTATGCATGTGACCAAACCATCATAGTCCACTCTCTCTCATTTTATCAGTTATTGGAGCTACCCCTAGGTTTCTACAGATGGTTTCATTTCTGATCCTATCCTTTCTAGTTTTTCCAAAGTGTCCACAACATAAGACTCTTATTCTCCTTTGTATTTATACTTTTTTTATTAGTTACAAAGGAATTTTATTAACTAATAAGCTCAAAAAAAGGATTATACATCAACTAGCTCCCATAGATCTATTCCCAGACCCCATCCACCAAACAAAGAAGCTCCAAATAAATTCTCCCTTGAAACCCCTTGCTTGGTTAGTGACTTAGCCAACTCATTTGCAGATCTGTCAACCCATCTAAAAGATGCCTCTACCTCCTTGCTAGCATCCTGATCTCTCTCAAAACCTGCCTATACATGCAGTTTATTATTCATCCGCCCCACCACTAGCATGGAATCCTCTTCAACCTCCATGTGCCTAAGGTTTAGCCGTTCTTAGTCCTTTCAATAGAACTGAGATTTCTGACTTAAGCAAGTCTCCATATCTAATATCTTATTTGGCTTGAGAATAGAGAAAGAACTGCTCCATGTCCATTCCTAAAGACTCCCCTAATGCCCAAAGGTCCTAGATTGCCAAAGTGAGCTGCCACCAAAGTTCATCTTTATTCTATTTCTTCATGAAGGACCCTGTTGTTTTTGAATCTTTATCTTCAAAATGGAAGAGGCTGTGACCACTCCCCACCCTCTCACTATGCCATCCACTGAAAAAATACTGAATATCTCTATTGTCTTGACCCAATGTATTTACCTTAGGGAAAGCGCTTCTCAGAGGTCCCAAGTGTAGTGTCCGATTGGTGGGTCTAGCTCAGAGGCTGTCTGATGTTTCTGTTGATAGTCTGGATTATCTACCAGGGTGTAGGAGGTCCAAAAACATTGCAGACTTTTACGATGTAATAATAGCTACACACGTTTATAGGGGTGCTCGTAGCATGAAGAGGGAGAGGAAAATCCTTGCTCCTGGTTTAGCTTTTGTGATGGTTTGTTCGTGTGGTTTTTTGTTCGACCTTTGTGGTCAAAGTTGTCCCTCCATTTTGTGGTCTGTTTTGGTGGGCCCAGGCTGTGTTTTTTTTGGGTTTTGTTTCTGGCTGTCTTTTTGCCTTTAGGTTGCTGAGCTAGCTCTTGGCACCTCCTCTAGTATATGACTTGTATGCTTTTTCAGCTTCTTTTAATTAATACTCTATCTTTCTCAAAAAAATTCAATAGCACCCCCCGGCCCCCCCATGCACCTTACACCCCATCTATACATTTATTTATATACTAAAAGGTCAAACTATTCCAATATAAAAATGCAAATACTCCCACGTCGGATTTATTTAGAACTAAATATATTGTACAAAGTGTATCAACAAGAATTCATAAAATAAAAATAAAAAAACAGTGACAACCAACCAGCCATTGAGATTCAAGCATCCATAATAATAACTACATCAAAGGATATAATGCCACCAATTGAATGGACTAATACCAACCAGTTGTTGTGGGCAGTGGTCCAACTTTTATTGAAGAAAGGCTTTCATGATGGAAATAAAGAAAAGATGCAGATGAGAGGTGTCCACATGAATATAAGATGAAAACTTGCAGATCCACCCTTGGACCAAAAAAAAACAGAAGAAGAAAAAAGAAATTAGTAGGATATGGATTTGTTGCTTACAAAAAGATCTTTCGCATGCTTCTTCTAGCTAATCCATCAGCCACCAAGTAAAGATCTATAGGAACCCACCGCAGATTTTCATTATGAGTTAAGAATCGTGCTTGTCTCATTCAGGTACTGTGCCAGCATCCATGGACCTCATCATTTTACTTGAGTTACACATCAGTGACAATGTGGGGAGCTGTGATCTTTTCCCAATTCTATAACCTCAGACTTGACAATACTAGAGTCCCCAACATGCCCACTACAGAATCAAATCAAAGAGCCATTGTGATTAGTGTTGTAAGGCTTATTTAATTGTTACTTTATAGTTGCTGTTAGTAGGCTGACTTCTTAAGATACTGTCAGTTAGTTACTTGTCTTTTTTTTCTTATTAGTTTGGTTCTAGGGTGTGCCGCCAGGGGCATACTTGTAATTTCTATTCTTGTTATTAAGTTAATATAAATAGAGAACTGGCGGCAACCAGCAGTATCTTTTTTCCCTCTCAATCGTATCTCCCTTTTCTTCTCTTTCTCTCTCTCTCTCTCTCTCATCTCCCACTCTCCATGAATGATTACATGGTATCAGAGCAGGTTTTCTGGGCTGTAAAAGACCTACGCTCCCTCCTGTTTTGAGCAAGGTTTCCTTCTTTAAATTCTTGGACATGGAAGACAG